ATATGCAATGCTACTGCTGCTGCTGCCATCATGGAGAGGAACAATGATGAAATATATGCATTGCCATGTGTATCATATACATATATGAATATGAGAAACAGTACCCATTACTCTCCAACATTAAGAAGCTCTGCTACCCTCATGATGCTCAGGCTCTCCCTTTCCTTCTTTGAAGAGCTAGAATTATACAGCTAAGCACATGTGGTGGGAAATTGATAGGACACAGTTAACAGGGGACCTACTTGAAGGACAGAAAGTCTTTAGTGAAAACCTGAATCTCAGTGGAAACCTGAAGGATGAAGTATTGGTTTGCTAGGGTTGCTATAACAAAAGTACCACAGGATGGGTGGGTTAAACAGTTGCAGTTCATCTCACGGTTCTGGTGTCCAGAAGTCCAAAGTTGTGTTGACAAGATTGGGTTCATCTGAAGGCAGTGAGGGAATTTATTACAAGCTTCTCAACTTATACAGCCTATTCTTTGTGCCTCCGTCTCTGTCTCTCTCTTTTTTTTTTGTTTGATAATAGGGCTTGAACTCTGGGCCTGGGTCCTGTCCCAAAGCTCTTCAGGTCAAGGCTCTACCACTTGAGCCACAGCACCACTTCTGGCTTTTCATGTTTATGTGGTACTGAGGAATCGAACCCAGGGTTTCATGTATGCCAGGCAAGCAATGTACCATTAAGCCACATTCCTAGCCCTGAAAGTGTTTAATTTTTTTTATCTCCTTCAATTTAGATTTTAAGAATTCAAAACCTTTCCTAAGAATTCAGGAGGATCGTAGAGTTCAAGGCCAGCTTGGACTATGTAAGTAGACTCTGTCTCAAATAATAAGGGTTTTTTTTAAATCTTCCAATTTTGAGAAACAGAATTTTCAAACCCATATTTGTTCATAGAAGAGAGATACTAGCACAAATACAGCTACCATTGGAATACAAAGAGCACACTGTAACTTGAATACACAATGACATGACAAAAGTGCCCAAGCTGTTATATTCCTCCTTTCTGAAACAGAAATACCTCTACTCCTATTTTAAATAATCCACATCAGCTTAATTCAAATAAATATCCTTTATTAAAGAAAAGAAGAAATATTGTTAAGCACCAAAAACTGTATGTTGTTACATTGCATGTACAATAAGAGAAAGGTGATTGCAATACTTGGTGTACAAGTACTTAACTCTGAAGTCATGAGTGTAAAAAACATGAAATACAAAGCAATACAATAATTACAATGCAGAAAAGTTGCACTAAAGAGCAAAAGGCAACAGTCAAAACAATTATTGGAGATTTCATAGTATTGCTATAAATGCTTGTTTAGTAGTTTTCTTTTTACTTTTAATACTTTAGAATGTTAATTGAGCATATTTAAGTATTGCAGATTTGCAAGAGCTGGCATTTACATTACACTGTGTATATTGTCTTTTTAATGTAGTGGTGGTAAAAGCAACCTTAAAAGCCAAGCACAATGTGCTAGTGTTTTGTTTCTCTACCTTTACAATATTGCACAAAGCTAGTAAATGGTGAATCATTTTGTCATTATAATTTTCATTCACCCAGAATGGCTACAAAAAAAAAAAAGTCAGTTTCATTAGCCCTAATGGGCTTTTATTCATGCAAAATGATTTGCAGCCTTCTGTTTTTCATTAACTACATATTATGGTGTCACACTTAGCAATAACGTACAGTACAATGAGAAATTCAGTGAGCCAATGTGGATTGTGTCAAAGTCAAGAAAGCCAGAAGTCACTGTAGGGGTTGCATAATCTACCCCTTTTGGTTCATACAAAGGAGTAATGCCACTTTGTGATTATGGAGACTTGTTAAAAATAGTAAAACGAGTATTGGGGAAAGTTGGGAAAACTCTTTGATATTTAACCACAGAACATGCAAGTTAAAAAAAAAAAAAACAATTCCTGTTAAAACTGAACTATATATAGCCAATGCCCATCTCTTTTGTTTTCACTTAAACATCCATTTTCAAGCATCTTTCTTCCCTACCCTCAACTCCCCAAACTAAGCCCTTGTGGTTGTGCCTGAATTTACAAAAACAAAACAAAACATACAAAACAAACTTCCTCTCATCCTCAAAACCCAACTGCATTGAAACTGTGTAAAATTTCCCCCTCCCCCCAACTCTCTAACATGTTAACCTTAGAGGTATCTTCTATACATGCACCCTACAGTGGCATAAATGTGCTTGTGTTGTAAAAGGTGGGAAACATAAATTTGGAATCAATCAAGTACATCATGTAAGTGCCAAGTTATCTGTTACTACAAGTAAAACATAGACAATTTTAGAATAAACACATCTTTGGAATAACTCAATGGGCAAACATTAAATGTACACACATGCACCGCACACACACTCAGAATCTAGACTCTCTCCCACCTTTAAAAAGCCTCTGTTTACAGACATGATAGTTTAGGCAATATTATAAATTCATTTTGTAGGAAAACCTTTTAAATTGCACTATATATTCATCATAGGATTAAAAAATACTACTGCTTCATTTTACAAAGCAATTAAGCAGACACTCTTCTTAATGTGCTTTAACTAAAGAAAACTTTGCAGCAAAGTCCAGAGATTACTACTGAGTTGGTCAGTAGCACTAAATAAATGCAGTGTGCTCAACAGTAAGGTGCTGCTACCTCCTTATGCCTCTTCCATCTCAAGTACATCTTGTTGCTCATTCGCTAACACTAGGCTAAGCATTAAAGGGAAAATAAAATCTGTTTAAATGCACATTTACTTTTATAATATTTCTTTTCAGTGCAAGAATTCAGTGAAACTACAAGTTTCTGCTCTATCAAATGGCTGCATTTTAACAAGGTATCTGCAAAAAATTTGAAATGTTTTACAGTTATTTGATATCTTTTGTTTGTCTCTAAATAACCTGGTAAGAAATATTGATTCCGGGGCTGGGAAGGTGGCTCAGTGGTAGAGCACTTGCCCTGCATGCATGAGGCCCTGGGTTCGATTCCTCAGCACCACATAAGCAAAAAGAAAAAAAAAGCCGGAAGTGGCACTGTGGCTCAAGTGGTAGAGCACTAGCATTGAGCTGAAGAGCTGAGGGACAGCGCCCAGGCCCAGAGTTCAGGCCCCACGACTGGACCCAAAAAAAAGAAAAAAAAAAAGAAAGAAATATTGATCCCTGATAGGGCTTACCAGGACCCAAAAGTACTTTACAGGTTGGTATCTGTTTAGTGTACAATACTTAAATAACAAACCTGGGGGAGAGGGGGAAAAGAACCAAATTTCTTGTAATTTTTTAAAAAAGATTTTTTAAAGAATAAAAGCATGTATTTAATTCAATAAATTTAGTGAATATAATTTCAAATCTTATGAAATGTGCAAGATTAACTACATGACCTGTATACTGACACTATCTCACAGAGAAGATGCTGCCCCCACTAGCTTTTCCACCATTGTAAGAGTTTAATTCTCAGGGTCTATAAATGCTATAATTTAACACATCTTACGATGTAAGGTGGCCATGCCATGTATTATCAACTACTGTTATTACAGAGTTCAATTTCGTTGTAACAGTGATTTCCCCCTTTCATTATAGTCAACCAGAGTACTCAGGTAATGGGAGAAGTTCTGCACTCCCCTTGACAGAAATACAGCTGTGCTCACTTACAACATGAGTATCTTTTTGCAATGTTTTATGATGCTCACAAACTCAAGAAAACTGTAAAATTTACTACAAAGTATACTTTAAAAAATCCTCATTAAGGGCTGGGAATGTGGCTTAGTGATGAGTTCTTGCCTAGCATGCATGAAGCCCTGGGTTCCATTCCTCAGTACCACCACAGAAAAAGCCAGAAGTGGCGCTGTGGCTCAAATGGGAGAGGGCTGGGCTTGAGCACAAGGAGGCTCAGGGACAGTACCCAGGCCCTGAGTTCAAGCTCAACAACCCACAAACAAAAAACCCTCAAGGCATTTCTTCATACTTTTATAGACACCTTTTAAACCACTATGATTATTTTTTCTATACATGCTATGTTGGTTTTATATATACAATTTTGGTTGTATTAGCAGGGGGAATATTTGAAATTGATAGTCAAATGAGCAGTAATACTAATCTCAAAACATTCACAAGTCATTGTCTCTTGGTTTTCCCATTTTAAATACAATGCAATTGCTACTCATTAGGTAAACTAACTTCTAAACTGATTCACCATAAAGTAAGCAGCTGTTTATAGATACAGAGATGACACAGAAATATAACTGTAAGATATTCTCAATTGTACAGAAGTACAGAAAAGTTTGGAATTGAGATTGTGATCACCTAAAGTACCATGAATCCAAATATGGTTAGTTTGTACTGACACAATTATTGTGGGGCTCTGAAGCTTAAATTAATGAGGGCCAGTTGGTGATATCTTTAAGGACAAGTGGACACTATTTTAAATACTATTGTCAGTGAGTAACTCTATTATTTGTGACTATAGTAACTTATAATCTGATTTGAAGCGGAACTCTGAGCCTTTTGGTAACTCAGGTAAGCACTACATAATGGGCCTACACCCAGCCTGAGACCCTAATCCTGCACAGAGAAATAGATGAGTAGGAGAAAATAATTTCCCAGAAATTATTAGCTGGCTGCCAACAAGGCTTCAGCCATGTCTGTCAAGTGTGGGGAGTACCTAGAGCACGATAGTGGGAACTGCTGAGGACTGGGAGTGCATCTAGTATCTCGTACAAACTTTCCACACAAGGCTCAGGAGGACAGATAACAGGATCCTTTTTAAAGTGAGCCTGGTTTTTAAAGGAACCCCAGCTTTAACACTAAGTGGGTGTAAATCTCTCTCAATACATTAGAATTCCAGTGTTTGTTTTTCTAAAGTGGAAAGAAATGAATAAAACTTAGGTTATGAACAAGCATCGACAAAGTTGAATACATAAAATATTGATAGACAGATCCATGAATACATGAAACTAATACGTGCTTTTAAGTTAAAAAAATTCAAATGGATTAATGTGGCCAATAGCACTGACAAAAGGATATACCAGCCCATCCACCCTCATTTTAGGATGAAGTTTATATAGTAGGATCTGTATTTTTAATAATTTCAGATAAGGAATTAGGCTAGAACTGAAATAAGTTTCATGATACTATGCAGAAGCTCCTAATCTCATTAATAATCACAATACTAACATTTAAGTGTGTAGATTTTGTCTTATATAACCTGTGGCCAAACTTTTCTCCATTATTATTTTAAAGAAAATAACATTTAAAAATGACAAGAATATGAATGGTTTTTCTCTAGGAAAACAGTTAAAACACACAGGAGCGTTTACAACTGTACTGTTTTCTGGGGTGAGGCCAAAGAGCTCCTTGTTAAGTAAGTTCTTTTTGGTATTTCAATCCTCAGCTCCCTGCATAAAGGCCAAGTTCTGCCTTAAGCAGAATTACACTGAAAACGAGGCCACCATACCTCCCAGTATGCAAGCCCACAGTAGTCCTGCTGATACTCCATGACGGCTCTATGCACAAAAATGTACCCTTCAAGACCCTATCCGCAGCTAAATCGGCACCCAGAGCTACAGATGTTTAAAAGTCAAGTGACAATAACAAAGGTTCGCTCTCAAAGTTCTAGTCAAAGCATTTGAAGACTGAAATGCCAAAGAGGCTTTTCTGTTTATCTACTTTCTGTACTTTTGCAGAGCATGTGTGTCTCACTGTGGATCATAATAAAAACACAAAATGTGCATGGTAGAGTTGTGATCTGTATTCCTATTTTTGAATCCTGATTTCTGATTCTAAACAGGAAAGTCATGTTATAATAAACAATAGTTTAAACAAAAAGACCAAAAATAATTTGAAATATTATCAAATTACAAAGTACTGCTTTTGATAAACAAGGATGCACATAAATTCAAACTATTACAAATTCAGAATTATGAAAACCTATTTAAAAGTATGGAAATTTGAACTCCAAACCCTTACAAAGTGTAAGTCTGGGTGGCCTTCTAAAAATAAGTCTTGTTAAATACATCATGTTGTAGTACACACATTAATAGGTCTAACTCTTGTTGGATTTTCAGATGTTGAACATCTTTGTGAAAATTCCTTTAGAGATAAGTGATTTGGAAATTTTAAGTGCATTTCCACTTGATATTTTTAATTCCTGACTTACAGCTACCACAACAAACTTTTCTTTTCAGGGTGCTGTAGTATTTCTACAAGATGATATGGAAGAAGCTCTGTTTTTCAGTACATCTTCTCAGTACATTGCAAGATGGATCTCTAAGCAGTCTCAAAATATCTCATAGTAGATCTTTGTCAACCCAGTGTGTTTTCTTCCAAGCCAGAGTGACCCCTAGCTTAGCTGGGCACTAGAAGAAGATATACAAGTGGATGGATGAGAAAATTTATAAAAGATAGCTGTCTCTGGAAGGTCTTTTCTCCATTGTAGCCCGGAATATTGCACATCTAAACTAATCAACTGGAATGACTGGAAAAAGCAATAATCTACCAATGGTGCTTCCTTTTTTTTTTTTCAGCCTACTCAGCCAGTATACTTTGGATCTAATATAATCCAATTCTGGACCCAAGAGTTTAAAAGTTTTGTTTTCCAAAAGGATTGGAACTAATCTTCATCTGTAGGTTTTTTCTTTCTTCTAAGACACCTGTTTGTAAACAAATAAAAGTGTTTTTTAAAAGAAGATTTTAAGTATGAAGAAGGAAGTTACTAAAACTGTATTAGGAAGGGGAGGGGAGAGGGTAATGGAAGAATGATGGGGGAAAGAGACTGGAATACATTGTACAAATGCATGAAAATGTCACAATAAAATCCCCTTTTTTGTATAGCTAATATATGCCAATTAAAAATGCCTTCTTAAAAACTGTATATATACGTTCCCTAACACCCAAGATGAACACTGATGGGTTTTTCTTTAAATGTGGTGGTACACAAGAAACTCTTTTGTAAACCAGGCACTGGTAGCCCACTCCTATAATCCTGGATAGTCAGAAAACTGAGATCTGAAGATTATAGTCCAAAAAGCCAACCCTGGCAGGAAAACTCATAAGACTCATCCCCAATTAACCACTGAAAAAGCCAGAAGTAGAGCTGTGGCTCAAGTGGTAGAATGCTAGGAGAAGTGGGGGGGAAAAAAAGTTTATGGACAACAATTAGGCCCTGAGTTTAAGCCCCAGGACCAGCAGCAAACAAAAAAAGAGAAACCCTTTGTTAGAAGGATATGTTTGTCTTTTAAGTAATAAAAATTAAAACAATGATTTTAAAAGAATTTTGATCAATGCTAAAAGACTGTTAAACTCACTGTCATTTTTATGTCATAACTATATTTTATGTCCTGATAATTTATATAAAAGCTACATATTGGCTGGGTGCCAGCAGCTCATGCTTATAAGCTACTCAGATCCAAGATATCATAGTTCAGAGGCAGCCCAATATAAAAAGTCCATATGACTCTTCCATCCAATTAACTAGCAAAAATGATGGTTAATGGAAGCATGGCTCAAATAGAGTGTCAGCCAAGAGGGGATAAACCAAGCAGGACTGCAGGGTCTTGAATTCAAGCCCCAGTACCAGCATAAAATGAAAACAAAACAAACCTATATATCACAGGGTAAATTCAGTCTCAAATGTTTGTCTCACAAACTGCCACCTGTTTTTTTATTCAAAATTACTGTTTCAAAAAAATGAACTTACCTGTAGTCAAGGTGTGTATATATTATATGTACTCATAGTATTATTTATATTAAAAATCAATACTAAAATTTATATAGAGACCCAAAAGACCCCAAGCAACAAAAGTAATCCTCAGCAAAAAGCAACATCAGAAGTATCACAATAACTGACTTTAAATTACAGTACAAGAGCCATAGTAAAATGGCACTAGCATAAAGAGAGACTTGAAGAGCAATGGACCGAAGACTTAACAAATAACCACACATCTACACTCATCTAACAGAGGGCCAAAAGACAAAAATTCTGGGCAAACTGGCTACAGAAAGGCAGAAGACTAACAAGTTGTTAAAAACAAAACAAACATAAAAAACTCCAAATGGATTAAACATTGTAATATAAGACTTGAAACTACTAAGGGAAAACACTGGGAAACTTTGAAAGATAATCTTTAAGTAATTATTTCCTGAATTAGGGACTCTAATAATGCAAGCAAACCCAACAAAAATTGACAAATAGGATTGTATCAAAGTTTCTGTATATTAAAAATTACCAGAACAAAAGATAGGTAACAAAAGGAGAATATCACCACCAAAATTCAATAAAGTTAATGATCAGAATATACTAAGACCTCAAAAAATTAAAAAGCAAATGAATAATCCAATTAGAACTGAACAGACAATTCTCAGAAGAAATACAAAAATGGCTACTTTAGAAAGAAATGTTTGATATCGTTAGCCACAAAGAAAATGTATATCAAAACTACAATGAAATTCCCCCTCTACATAACTAATGTAAGCTAAAACAAACCTACATTGAGATCCCATTATACCACAGTCCAAATGACCATCAAGAAAGCAAACAAGAAATTCTGGTGAAGAGGGAAAAAAAACCTTCATACACTGTTGGTGGGAATGTAAACTAATGCAACTACTATAAATCAGTACAGAAGATCCTCAAAACGTTAAAGACAGAGCTTATGATCCCACCAGACCATTCTTGGGCATATATACAAAGGAAAGTAAATCAATATACAAATGAGATAACTGTATGCCTATGCTATCTAAGAGTGTGTTTTCCTTTCAGTATTATAGAATACATGCCAGCTTCATAAACAGTCCCTTACATCTAATTAAAAAAAAAAAAAGGCACAGGGGCTGGGACTGTGGCTTAGTGGAATGTGGCTCAGTGGCAGAATGCCTACCTAGAGTTCACGAAGCCCTAGGATTGATTCCTCAGTGCCACATAAACAGAAAAAGCTAGAAGTGGTGCTGTGGCTCAAATGGTAGAGTGCTACCCTTGAGCAAAAGCAGCTCAGGGACAGTACCCAGGCCCTGAGGAAAAAGCACAGGCCAGGTGGTGGTGGCTCACACCTGTAATCCTACGAGGCTGACATCTGAGGATCACAGTTCAAAGCCAGCAGGGGCAGGAAAGTCAGTGAGATTCTCAAATTAACCATCAGAAAACCAGAAGTGGTGCTGTGGCTCAAAGTGGTAGAGCACTAGCCTTGAGAAAAGAGTTCAGGGACAGCGTACAGGTCCCAGTTCAAGCCCCACACAACTAAACCCCCCCCAAAAAAATTCAAATACATCATGAACTATATTCTTAATACATAATATTAAGGAAATACCATTAGTAGCCAGAAACTATAAATTACACCTCTGACTGTTGAATTATACACAATGCTGCTGTCAGGCAGACCTGGTAAGAAGAGAGAAGACAGATAAAGACACAGCCTGAGCAGTTGATGTGCCAGACCACTGCAGGCTAGCTGTAATGACAAGCTAATATGTGGAATCAGCACCATGACAGTTTTAGTTATATGCTAAGGACCAGTCTGGGAGACAACACGCTATATAACAAAAACAGAGCAAGAGAATCTGCAAGTATCTACAGCAGAAACCATTCCCAGTTGAACAAACCTGAGTCTCTAAGATATTTGAGAAGACATAGTGATATATTTAGTGTACCTATAGTACAGGCGAAAATGATTTTAAATAAGTGAGCCATACAAGTGACTTATATAAGACTGCAATAAAGCAAGAACAATGGTATTGCTGAAGGTTGGCTGAAGCATAGTAACACATAATCCTGGTACACATGGAGCAAGAGTAGAAATAGAATAACATTTCCCTAATATTTCCATACCCAAAAGGCACGGGTAAAATTACTACTTTTAGCAACATTTTATTTGATATAGCCAAATAATGTCTTCTATGTTTTAACTATTATTTTACTTCTAATTTTTGGCAATATTGAAGTTTTGAACTCAGAGTTGCAAATTTGCTAGGTAAGCACTTGAAGTTGATTGAAGCCATGACCTCAGCATTTTTTCTTTTTAAAAATTTTTTTGGCCAGTCTAGGGGCTTGAACTCAGGACCTGAGAGCTGTCCCTGAGCCTCTTTGTGCTCAAGGCTAGTGCTCTACCACTTGAGCCATATTACCATCTCCAGATTGTTCTGAGTAGTTGATTGGAGATAGAGTGTCAAAGACTACCGAGTGCTGGTGGCTCACACCTGTAATCCTAGCTACTGAGGAGGCTGAGATCTGAGGATCATGGTTCAAAGCCAGCCCAGGCAAGAAAGTCCATGAGACTCTTATCTCCAATAAACCACTCGAAAACTGGAAGTGGTACTGTGGCTCAAACGGTAGAGTGCTTGCCTTGAGCTGAAGAACGCAGGGACAGCACCCAAGCGCAGAGTTCAAGCCCCATGACCGGCCAAAAAAAAACCAAGAGTGTCAAAGACTTTCCTCGTCAGACTGGTTTCAAACCATGTTATTCAGCTCTCTCATTCAGACTCTTGAGTAGCTATGATTACAGGCATGAGCCACAAGTGCCTGGCTACATTTTGCTTTTATTTAATAACTTCTTTTTCAGATAGAATTTGAGCTTATTACTTAGGTGGCCTTGGACCGTGCTCTTCCTACTTAAACTTCCCACACAGCTGAGAACGCAGCTGTCAGCCAACATACCCATCTTGTTCTTGAGACAGGATTATGCCGTTTCTGCCTAGGCTGGCATTGAATTTTCAACCCTCCTATGTCCACCACCCAAGTATCAAAATTACAGATGTTGGGCTGGGAATGTGATTTAGTGGTAGAGTGCTTGCCTAGCATGCCTAACGCCCTGAGTTTGATTCCTCAGTACCACATAAACAGAAAAGGCTGGAAGTGGTGCTCTGGTTCAAGTAGTAGAGTGCTATCCTTGAGCAAAAGAAGCTCAGATACAGTGCCCAGGCCCTGTGTTCAAACCCCAGCACTGTCAAGAAGAAAAAAAAAATTGTAGATGTTCAAAACCATACCCAGTTATTCTTATTATTTAAAAATGTAGTGAGCCTGGCTCTGGTGACTCACACCTGTAATCCTAGCTACTCAAGAGGCTGAGATCTGAGAATCACAGTTCAAAGCCAGCACAGGCAAGGAAAGTTTGTGAGGCTCATCTCCAATAAACCACCAGAAAACCAGAAGTGGCTCTGTGGCTCAAGTGGTAGAGCGCTTGCCTTTAGCTGAAGAGCTGAGGGACAGCGCCCAAGCCCAGAGTTCAAGCCCCATAACTGACCAAAAAAAAAAAAAAGTAATAGACGTGAACTCTATTACTTAGCAGAATGCTACATGTATTACTAGTTTTAAAGGTTCAGAAAGCTAACTATCCAAACAATCCATCATTTTCTACACTGACCTCAGAAACTCCTTTGTGGGGTGGGGGTAGGGGAGGGAACTGATAAAAGGGAATGAAATTGATTGGAATATATTATAAACGTGGAATGTAAGAATGAAATCCTCCCCCCCCCATACTTAATGTAAGCTAATTAAACAAGAAAAGCAAACTTGTTTAAATGAAGTAGTTCAGTTAGAAAAAGTTTTTTCTGGGTAAGGGAAGAATAAGATGGTCCTTTTAGTTAGGATGTACCTCAAGTGGAGATAATTTTTAATGGAAACATAGCATTTGTATAAATAATAGATCCTAGACTTGAAAAGAACACCGGGCCCCATCGACCAATTACAAAAGCTGTATTACTGAATGCTAATAAAGACAACAGGTTATTTACTTGTTAGTTCTCCCAATCTGTGGAAGGCAGGGCCTCTTCTTCATCCTCTGACTCAGGAGATGCCTCTTTAATTCTTCTTAGAGCTTCATGGATGCTCCGTGTCAGAGGGTCTGTATCAGGCAGAAGTGTGAAGGATTCTCTCAAAACGTCCTTCTGAACCTTCTTCAATTTTACCCCTTTCCTTATTTGTGCCAAGATATTGTTGCTATCATCTTCATCAGGAAAAGGGGGTAGAGTTCGCTGTTCAACCTTTTTCAAATGGAAACTACCACGCTTCAAGGATGCTAGCACCTCATCCATGGGTGAGCTCACTTTTAGAAAAGGAAAGAACAATTAATTACAGTTAGGTATGAACTTAAAAGTCAAACTATATGACCTCTAGATTATTGGACTATGAAAGCCCAAGGCACTGGCATCATAAGCTGTGAGTAGAAGGTTGCCAGAACAGTAGGGAGCATCACTTAAGGCAAGACTCAAGTTCCTTGTCAGGTACTCTTCTGGCTTTTTTTGTGATCAACTGGAGATAAGAGTCTCACAGACTTTCTTGCCCAGGTTGGCTTTGAACTGTGATCCTCAGATCTCAGCCTCCTGAGTAGCTAGGATTACAGGCATGAGCTACCAGTGCTCTTTCTATTCCTATCAGATACTCTTTCTATTCCTATCACTTCCAATGTGAAAGAAGGAGCGCTTGCCTTGCATGCTCAAGGCCCTGGGTTCGATTCCTCAGCACCACATAAGCAAAAAGAATAAAGCCGGAAGTGGCGCTGTGGCTCAAGTGGTAGCGCGCTAGCCTTGAGCTCAAGCCCAGAGTTCAGGCTCCACGACCAGACCCCCCCCCCAAAAAAAAACCCAAAAAATAAAATGAGAGGCAAACAATAAAATGACCATATCACTTCCTACTCTTTGCCTTTTCATACAAGGTATGAATTAAAACCTTCAGAAGCAAAATGAGACCAAACATGAGATTAGTTTTTCTTTCTATTGTTTTGTAGTGCTGGGCATATAGAACCCAAAACCTTGAACATGTTTGCCAAATGCTCTACCCTGAGTGACAATCCTAGCCACTGAGTACTTTATCTCCTAGGTTTAAATCAGGCTTTTTCTTTTCACCCCAGTCCTGGAGTTTGAACTCAGGACCTGGGCACTGTCTCTGAACTTCTTTGTGCTCAAGGCTACTAGCCTTCTACCACCGGAGCCACAGCACCATTTCCAGCCTTTTCTGAGTAGTTTATTGGAGATAAGAGTTTCTTAGACTTTCCTGCCCAGGTTAAGGTTAGCTTCGAACCACAGCCCTCAGATCTCAACCTCCTGAGTAGCTAGGATTACAGGCATGAGCCATTGTGCCCAGCCTAAAACCAGACTTTTTCTAACACAAAAAGAATCATTCATAGCCGGGCACCAGTGGCCCATGCCTGTAATCCTAGCTACTCATAGCTACTCCGGAGGCAACAAAGTCCATGAGACTCTTATCTCCAAAAAACCACCAGGAAACTGGAAGTGGTACTGTGGTTCAACTGGTAGAGTGGTAGCCTTGAGCAAAAGAGCTCAGGTCCAGCGCCCAGGCCCAGAGTTCAAGCCCCATGACTGACAAAAAAAAAAAAAATCGTTCACAAAATGGACCAAATGTCACTTCAAAATATATTATTTCTTAAGTATGTCTTAATAACTCAAGATGATTACAATTCTCTGCTTGAAAACCTGTTAACTATCCAATAACATTTACTATTAAACTTTGCAAAATGTAATGTATTATAAAGTTCTTCCACTATTCCTCATTTTATACATCAGATGGAAATGCCTGTGCACTTACCTCTTCTCCTTTGCAAACTTTCAGCAGTCTTTCTGAGTTTCTTCCGTGCACTGACCAACTGGCTGCTGTCAAAGAGGTGAGCTGAGGGGGCACTGGCTGATTTGGGAATTCTCTTCTCAGTTCCTTCCTTTCTAGGCAGACCTTTCTCCAGTGTCTCTGCGGTGACATCAGCACATTCATCTTTTGCAACAGGTAGAGGTGGTGGAGGTGGCGGTGGAGGAGGAGGAGGAGGTGGAGGCAGGGGTGTTGGAGGGAGAGGTGGTGGAACTGGATCTATGGTACCAGAACATGGTTCGAGGTCATTACTAGTCAAAAGTGGAAGCGATGCAGTGGGAGGCAGTTCAGAGACAACACCACTGAGAGGTAATGAAGTGGCTTCAAGTTGTGCTAATGAAGAATCTTCAAGTTGTGCAAGGCTCTGGGGTTCTGTTGTCTGTGGTGATCCAAGAGGGTCTCTTCTTTCTCCCAACTCTTCTGCTTTCTCCATTCCCTGCAACACTCCTGGTAGTGAGTCACCCTGATCCTCCTGGGACATAGGACTTGCTGCACTTTTTCTTCTTGCATGGGCCAGTCGTAATCGGGTTGATTTAAGTATGACTTGCCCAGGGTACCTCTAAAATATTAGAAGTTATTGTAACTGATTGTCATATATTTAAAAACTAAAATGAACAAAGGCTATTTTCTCCTTCAACTGAAGGGTATTATTTTGGCTCTTTTGTGGTTAGAATAAACTAGAATACCAATACCTACTGATTTTCACAGCAATTATCTCCAACTCCTTTGTTATTGCCTAACAAATATGTTAAGACCCTGTTCTCTCTTATCTACTTAAGAAGCCAACTGTCCAAAACTACCACGTAATTTATTAACATTACTAATTTAAATGGAAAAAATTAGTATGTGAAATAATGTCAAATATATTTGCTACAGGTATGCAGAAAGCTAAGAAACTAATACTGGTTTATGATATATTTTCAATTGCTTACAGATGAAAACCTTGACATTTTTTACATCAATTTTTTAAAAAGCCTCTGAAATAATACATTTATTTATGATACAATGAAAAAATTTTGGAATACTGCCTTACAATACTTTCATAGCATTATGCCATTTAGGAGACAACATTTATTTAGCATTAGGTTTAACTTAAGCCTTAGGGGTTTACCTAAAAGAAACCACTCTTTTAGGGGTAGTCTCACCACGACCCATCTTTTCTATAATTCTAGATGGTTAATTAAAAGATCATTTCACCACTAAGGTGATCCCCCAACACACAGCACTGAAGCACTTCAACAACTAGAGCCAGAAGCTTCAGCAATGGTTTCTGAATTGCACAGAGGCTGAGAGCGCACAAGCACTCTATATGTTGGTTGATCCACATTTACCAATGGTCAACCCCATTTATGACCAGCAAAGGTTGATGTATGTGGAATTAGTACCAAGCATCAGCTTGTTACTAGAGGAATCCAATCTTCCCAAAAAGTCTGACATTCCTCTTATACTACTGAAGCCATGTGACAAGTGTCATACTATTAGCGCTGGAAACAACCAAAGCAAAGGGAGCCATGTCATCAAAACAGTTACTGCCATGATCATAATACACTAAACAAAAACAGAATAGGACGTTAGTACTGTTTAATATAAGAAAAAAAATAAATATACCATACTTTTACTACCTGCTTAAAGGTCCGAAGTCTATCTAGTGTTCTCTGTCTCTCTTGGCTAACCCAGGCACTTTTTCGTTCTTCTTCATCAAGTAATTTCTCTTTCTTCTAGCAAAAGAGTAATAACAATCCATTATGTTATGCCACATCCACTTTTCACATGACTAGGGGGAAGAATAAGAATGAATTTTCTTCCAGTATTTAAAATGAATGACTCAAGGGGATGCTTCAGTCAACAAAATCTTTTGTTGGTGGTCATGGGACTTGAAGTCAGGGTCTGGGCACTGTCCCTGAGCTCTTCAGCTAAAGGCTAGTGCTCCACCACTTTGAGCCACAGAACCACTTCCAGTTTTCTGGAGGTTAACTGGAGATAAAAATCTCACGGAATTTCCTTTCCAGGGCTGGCTTTGAACAGCAATACTCAGATATCAGTCTCTTCAGTAGCTAAGATTACACTTAAGAACCACCAGCACCCGGCTTCAACAAAATCCTTACAATATAATACAGTATGTTTTGTGGGGTTTTTTTCAATTAGTCTTGGGTCGCTGTCCCTAAGCTCTTCAGCTCAAGGGGAGTGCTCTACCACTTGACACTTGAGCCACAGCACCACTTCTGGTGGTTAATTGGAGATAAAGAAAATGTGTACACACCACACACACACACACACTCTCTCTCTCTCTCTCTCTCTCTCTGCCTCCATCAGAAAGAATGACACCGCCCCATTTGATAGAAATGGAAAGACTTGGAAAAAAATTAAGTGAAGTAAGCCAGTCTCAAAGAGACATAGGTCCCATGGTTTCCCTTATTTGCAAAAACTAGCATATACCTAGGAAAAGCAGAAAAGGTCAAAAGCTATGTACATATGACCATATAAGATGATGCTAAAGCAAAATGAACTCCAAGATAGGGACACAAGAGGTTCTATTTTTGTTGCTTTTGTTTTTAATGTACTTACAATGTACTGTGTGATTTTTTTGGGTTTCTTTTGTATGTTCTTTCCCCATATTGTAATCCCTGTTTTCACTGTATTTGATTCTGGCGCCCTCCATCTTATATATACATTTTTCTAATTTGGGGAGGGGAAGGGAAATAAAATGTGGAAATAAGGATACAGGTTGACTCATTTTAGCAATGAGATGTACAAGATACTATGTTGAAAACGAACTTTGCAACTTCAGGATGGGGGAGGGAGAAGTTGAGAGGTGGGGAGGGGAGGGATGGTAGGGGAAAAACAAAGGAGGGGGTAACAATGCTCAATAGGAAATGTACTCATTACCTTACTCATGTAACTGTAACCCCTTTGTATAGTATCTTTACAGTAAAAATAATATATATATATATTTTTAAAAGTCTCGGGGCAGGAGGATGGGAAGGGGAAACAAAGGAGGAGGCTACAATGCTTGATAAGAAATGTACTCATTATCTTGCCCATGTAATTGTAACCTCTCTGTACAGTATTTTCACAATAAAAAAATAAAAACAAAACCAACCAAAAATTAAAAATTAAAAAAAAATTTTAAGTCTCACAGACTTTGCTGCCCCAGCTGGCTTTGAACCGCAATCCTTAGATCTCAGCCTCCTGAGTAGCTAAGATTATAGACATGAACCACCTGCGCAAGTGAACACTATGTTTTTTAATCCAAATCATTGCTTTAAAATTCTTTTTCATATGATAAAGTGAAATCTTGTTTTATATTGGTGGCTTTGGCCTAAACAATTTCAGTATCAAATACTCTATGTTCCAGCACTGGGAGACAGAGGAAAGAGGATTGAGAGGATTGTTATCTTTTACAAATTCAAGTATAGGTGGCTTTAAAAATAAACCAAGTGAAGGAAACCACTGGAATCATAGCTGCCTGTGCACGTGAGACATAATCTCTTCTTTAAAACTCTTAAGATGGTTAAGATCACTGTTCTCAACAGAACTGTGTATAAGTAAGACACATAAAGACAGAGGGTCAGCAAGCTACCACCCACAGGCTGGCTACCTGTTTTGGTAAAGAAAGTTTTATTGGAGAACAAAAAATTATCAGCAATTACCTCCTCAGCAATTTATTACACATTGTTTCAACCAATATAACCAACATTTAGGGGGAAAAAATGCTTCAAGCAGTGTTCATGAATTTTGTAACTTAATATCACACACCCTATCAGCTATTACCAGTTTGTAAATGCTCCCCTATTGTTGAATCATTTAAAAACTGTAATGAAATCTCATTTGGAAGACTATATTTTAGTTGAGGGCTTTCAACATGCAAATACTTTACAGACTTTTTTTTTTTTTTTTTTGCCAGTCATGGACCTGAACTCTGGGCCTGGGCGCTGTCTCTCAGCTCTTCAGCTCAAGGCAAGCACTCTACCACTTGAGCCACAGCGCCACTTCTGGCTTTTTCTGTTTATGTGGTGCTGAGGAATCGAACCCAGGGCCTCATGCATGCAAGGCAAGCGCTCTACCACTGAGCCACCTTCCCAGCCCCAGACTTTTTTTTTTTTTTTTTATAGAAAACAGGAGCCACCTCCTTCCTTAAGTACAGACAATTTCACATAAAAATTAACCTGGCCATGTATTCTAGAGCACACTGTAATCCACAGGTGTAGTTAGAAGCAGAAGAAAGTCTGGGCTTTGTAATGACAGTGAGATGGTGTACTACAATATTTTTTAAATCCAACCCTCCACTATTATCATACTTTAGTACCTCTATTTCCCACCAGTTTTTCCCTAAATAATGTCTACAGATAGTTATTACTGCCATGAGATGTTGGGGATGGGGGGGAAGATGGGAAGGTGGCTCAGTGGTAGAGTGCTTGCCTCGCATGCATGAGGCCCTGCGTTTGATTTCTTCAGCAGCACAGAAAAAGCCAAAAGTGGCACTGTGGCTCAAGTGGTATAGCATTAGCCTTTAGCTGAAGAGCTGAGGGACAGCGCCCAGGCCTAGAGTTCCAGCCCCACAACCAACCAAAAAAAAAAAATGTTAGGGGGAAGGATAAGAGTAATCTATGGAAGAGATGAAATAGAAAAAGGTATAGGCTGACTACTCTGAATGTAATATAATTTAGTAACAATATACACATACATATATATTGATTTAAAAAAAACTCAGTAAGGGCATAACATCAGCACAAATCCAGATTAAGAGGTATTAAGAACCACCCTAAACTCAAACACAAAAAAATCCACAGTCCCAGGTACTCATGCCTGTATTCTAGCTACTCAGGAGGCTAAAACCTGAGGATCATGGTTTGAAGCCAGCCCAGGCAAAAACTCCCATGAGACTTAAAAAAAAAAAGTAGAGCTATGGCTCAAATGGCAGAACTCTAGCTTGGATCACAAAAGCTCAGGGACAGTGCCCAAGCCAAGTTCAAACCCCAGGATCAACCACACCCTACAAAAAAAAAATAATAATCCATAGCAACAATGGACAATGATTATGGTCATTTTTCAGGTCATTTTGGTAACTACCATTAGAATAATATACTCAATAATCGTAAACTATAAGCAGAAAGCTTTCTAATTAAACACAGAAAGGCAGTCTTGGCTTTTCTTTCCTTCCTTGAAACCAAATGGAAAGTAGAAAATTTGAGAAGAAAAGGGTATTTTTAAATGAAATGAGAAGATATCACTTCAAGTTATATATTATGATACACAACTACCAAATTTTACCAAATAAACTTGGACCAAAATGAACAGTATTGATAATAACCTTAGATCTGATATGACAGAATCTCTAAAAAAAAAAAAAAAAAAATCTCAAGCCAGGTACCAGTGGCTCACGCTTATAATCCTAGCTACTCAGGAGGCTGAGATCTGAGGACTGCAGTTCAAAGACAGCGGAGCAGGAAAGTCCATGAAGCTCTTACCTCCAATTAACCACCAGGAAACCACAAGTGATGCTGTGGCTCAAATGGTAGAGTGCTTGCCTTGAGCTGAAGAGCCCAGGGACAGCACCCAAGCCCAGAGTTCAAGTCCCATGACCAACAAAAAAAACAAAAATCCACCAATTTTTATCAAGTGATATAACAGAACAATAGGAACAAGAAGGTGAGAATGTTCCCCTAAATATCTGGTTTTGGAACTGGGAATGTGGCTTAGCACTGGAGTGCTTACCTAGCATGCATGAAGCTCTGGGTTCAATTCCTCAGTGCTACATAAACAGAAAAGGCCAGAAGTGGTGCTGTGGCTCAAGTGGCACTGTGGCTCAAGTGGTAGAGTGCTAGCTTTGAGCACAGAGAGGCTCAGGAACAGAGCCCAGGCCCTGAGTTCAAGCCCCAGGTACAGCAATCAATCAATCAATGTCTAGTTTCTTACCACAGAATAAATGTAGATGGAGGAAAATATGAAATTAAAATATTACAAAATAAAATATTAGCTTTCCTTTCAATAACCTCTTAATACTGAGGGGGGAAGATGTTCAAACACCTCCACAGTTATCAACACAGACAGCCTATGGTAATAGGATTGTTTTATGAATGACATGAGAAACCAACCGCATAAGCCTCTTGAACGGCAACTGGAAGGGACAGAGCTAACCTTCTGAGTAGGAACAGAACAGGCCCAGATTCTGTTAGCCCTATTCCTAGATGAGAAAGGAAATGGCCATGGGTGCAGGGTCTACACATTTATACTTGGTGAGACAGGACTGCATCTATCAAAAGAGCAGCTATGTAAACAAGGTACATCTGAAACAGATCCTAAAAACTGGAGCTGGACAGTGGCCAAGTTCAGACATAGTGTTCAGTGCTGTCAAATAGCAAGGTTGTAAAAGAGCTTCAAGTTTTCTGACTTGACCAACTATGGGTGTGCTGTGATTGGGAACACATTGGTAGTGCAAGAGAAAAGAGGCCTGCGTTTTCAGGAGGGAAAACAAATAATCAAATGAGATCTTATTAAGATAACCTGGAATCATGAGATTAGAAGTTAGAGTAATAATACATACAGAATACTACACTTAATATATAAGAATATTTCTTCAGAAATTTGTAAGCGGGACAGTGTTAGAACTGAAGTTCTTTGGAGAACAGTGACAGACACTGGAAGTATTTATTAACTGGTGACTGGTATAAATGCCTTGAGGAGTATCAGGGTAGCCCACCTGTTTCCCAACAGGCTGGAACTATCAATCACGCTTTCTGACTTTTGGTAGTACAGAGTAAATCCTTTGGGTATGCATTGGCCTCTTGGATTTATGGCATAGGAAACAACAAATTATGGGTCAGTAAAGAACAATCTGTCTCTTCCTCTATCAGACACCAGAGAGACCTGTTGCCTTAAGTTTAAGAAAGAGTCTTAATTCTCAAAAGAACAATCAACTTTGATTAGATGTAAGGCAGGGCTTCTCATAGCAACAGTATCAGGTAATAGAAGACAAGCTCCATAATCTTAAAGAAAGCAAGAAGATAGGTCTGAGCTCTGCATTAAAGTTCAATGGGATCCTCCCCATTCAGAAAGGGAAGCTAAGAATTGAGATTATAGTGAAGCAAAGCAAGAACACATCCATGCCCACCAGACACTTCTGTTCCATACTTCGAATGTATAATCCTGTCACCCAACTCAGTACAAACTGCTACAAACTCTAGTTTATACCCACTAAACACCTGAAATCCAGAATAAGCTTGCATCCTCCTGAATCCAGATACATGACATGAAGTTCCATGAGGACAAAGAGTCTAAACTTTATATGACTCCATGAATGAACAGATTATGCCACGTAGAGAAAGTATTTTATCTAGGAGATGTTGGCACTGAGAAAATGGTTGATTTTTAAAAAATGGTTTTTAAGAAAAAACTGAAAGTTTTTCAATTGTGAACCAATGAATCTTATCTAAACATAATATATGTTAGGTGGCTATAGGGCTCAAAGAAAAGTTAGCTGATCTCAAATTCAAGTTAATGAGAATGTAAAAGATCAAAGATGAAGAGAATGGTTCTAGCTCTGAGGCATGAATTGATGAGTTTGTGTAGGGAAGGGTAATACAGTAAACTGAGCCTAAACCCACAGCCAATATTTGGCAGGCCTGGATATGTGACAGTTTCCACCTTAAGAACTTTGATGGGGGCTGGGAAGGCGGCTCAGTGGAAGAGCGCTTGCCTTGCATGCCTGAGGCCCTGGGTTCCATTCCTCAGCACCACATAAGCAAAAAGAAAAAAGCCGGAAGTGGCGCTGTGGCTCAAGTGGTAGAGCGCTAGCCTTGAGCTGAAGAGCTGAGGGACAGGCCCCACGATCAGAACAAAAAATTAAAAAAAAAAAGAACTTTGATGAACTCATTTGTGACCCCATAAAATGAAATTAACTCACCTGCAGTGATGGGATGGGGATGTTAAAGATGGCTACAAAAGAGGCTTTGCATTCCTGTCCTTATTTCTTACTAATTTGGGTATAAATTACCTAAGCATGCTCATCTTATAAAATTTTAATTTACAACATACCCTTTTCTTGAAAAAGTTTCACAACAATGTATTGTTTTAAAGAAACCAAGATCAATAATTGGGCATTTTACAATCACAGGACACTTAAGAACAACCCTAGTAGAAACAATGGTCTTTGGGTAAAAATGTCTCAAAGTTGGCTTGCTGCTAACAAATGTACCACTCAAACAGAAGGGAGGCTATTGGTGTATGCACATGGGGAGGAGGGAAAGGCATAAAATATTAAGGTAGGAATAGGAATTCTGTACTTGATTTTGCCTAAAAACTTCACACACACACACACACACACACACACACACACACACACGAATTAATGCTAACATCTAGTTATATGACTCTCATTCTCCAATTTATTCACCCTGAGATGCATGAAAAATAAGCTTTTGCTCCATGTCTCCAAGAGTGCAAACTTACAAGTTGTGCTGTGTGATGGTTTCTATATTCCTCTTCACTCCGAAAGCGTTGCTGGAATTTTTCATTGTGTTTTGAAATACAAATTTCCTATAAATATATAAAACATGTTTTAGAGCAACAGATGACACTGTCCAAAAGGAAATGTATTCTTTATCTGACTCATGTAACTATAACCTCTCTGTACACCATAATAATAATAATAAAGTTAAAAAACATGTTTAATACAAGTGAAATTTAGACCCCACCAAGGTTTATTTCATAAGTTTCTTGTTTTGTTTAGCTGATCCTGGTGCTTGTTCTCTCGGTCTGTTCACTGTCCCTGGGCTCCTTTTGCTCAAGGCTAGCATTCAACCACAAGCCCAGTGCCACTTCTGGCTTTTTCTGTGATTAATTGGAGGTAAGAATCCCATGTACTTTCTTGCCAGGGCTGGCTTTGAACCATGATCCTCAGATCTCAGCCTGCTGAGTAGCCAAGATTATAAGTGTGTCCGCTTTCGTAAATTTTAATATTCTAATCTATTTAAAATTAAAAAGAATGAAATACAGCCAGTGGCCTACCGTCTGTTTTGACCATTCTCAAGTAAATTAAAGACACTGGCTTTTTCTAGACTGGTGTAAACATAGCAAGAGATCTAGCTCTCTCTGTCATCATTGTCAGAACAAAGAGACCTTAGAGACTCAAAAGTTAAAAATTATAAAACATCATTATTAACTACTGCTTTAAATATATGCATACTTTAATCTCCATATGGAATACATTTTGTGATAAATTGGCAGAGCTGTGTGCTTCTTTATAAAAATAATGTACTATAATATGATAGTAACAATGCTTAATCTTCAATTTATTTATAACCTTTCTCTGGTCCAGGGGGCTACATGTTGAAATAGTCTTTTTTCTCTTTTTTTCAGCATATGTTATAAACAGGGGTTTCACTGTGATATGTCCATCATACATATAATGTACAAATGCCCAGTGGAAGAAGTTAAGTTAGTAAGGAATATTTCCCCTTCACACCTTCACCACAAACCAATAAGTCCTACTGACCTTCTACTTCTTGAAAGAGCACAAACTGGCCATTTCTCAGAACCACTTTTTTATTGCTGGTCCTGTGGCTTGAATTCAGGGCCCTTAGCTTTTATACTCAAGGCTGGTACTCTACAACTTGAGCCACAGCTCCACTTTTAGTTTTGTGGTGATTAATTAGAGATTAAGAGTCTCGTGCTTTCCTGATGATCCTCCCCTCTCAACCTCCTGAGTAGCTAGGATCATACACATGAGCGCCCAGTGCCCAACTATGAAGCACTCTTTTGTAAATGTCATCACTCTGAATATCAAGGATTTAGAAATATGACTCATGTTAAAAATAAGTAAGTAAAAAAACCTTTACTACTAAATGAGGGCTGAGGTCAGAACCAGGGCTGATTAAATGATATGTAGCCACATTAAATTAAAAGGTTAACAGGAAATATAGAACATGAGATTCTTCAGTATTATTAAAACTCCTTAGGAGAGTCACCCTCAGGGCTGCTAAAAGCAAAGAACACATCACTATAGCTGCTGGAATTCATTTAACAGAGCAATACTAGTAGAAATATAAATGTTTAATATTATGAACTGAGTAATAAAAGAGGTAATGCTTATTTAATTTTTAAAATATTCAAGTATCAAGTGACAAATCATGTTAGAATTATTAGACTCGGATCAGGGATTAAGAAATGAATAAAAGATTGGAATACCTTTTTATTTCTGAGGTAGGCTTTCTTGGCTGAGACTCGTCCCCGTCTTGCTTCCAGCTGGCGAGCCTTCTGCTGCAGCTTCTGCAGCTCTTCCCTCTGTGCGTGCACAGACGCTGCCATCTCTTCCTTCTCCAGCATGGCCTCCATGCTTTCATAAGTATCGTAGTATACCACTTCATCTCTTTTTTCTGTTATGGAGGAGCAACAAGGGATTGTGGTTAAGAGTGAGCTTCTCTGTAAAATGGTAATAAAAGGAAATACTCCACACAGATTGAGTGTATGCCAAGCATTTGTTCTGCAAGTGTCTGGCACATTCCTTATAGCACCCTGAAAAATTCAAATTCTTTAAAAATTGAGACTGTGGCCGGGCCCTGGTGGCTCACGCCTGTAATCCTAGCTACTCAGGAAGCTGAGATCTGAGGATCGCGGTTCAAAGCCAGCCCGGGCAGGAGAGACCGTGAGACTCCTATCTCCAACAAACCACCAGAAAACCGGAAGTGGCACTGTAGCTCAAGTGGTAGAGCACTCGCCTTGAGCTGAAGAGCTGAGGGACAGCGCCCAGGCCCAGAGTTCAAGCCCCACGGCCAACAAAAAAAAAAAAAAAATTGAGACTGTGGATGAAGGATCTTTACAAAATAACCTACAAAGATAACTGAAACTAATATATAGTTGCCCCACTGATTCTACCAAATGACCTTTCTGACTTCCTAGACTTCCTCAAAAAAATTTGTTTAGACTTTTTAGAAAAGGACACAACTGCCATTCATATATTTTCTCCATGCAATACTTTTGTGGAGTTATGTAGTCAAATGCATAACCATACCTGATATAAGTCTTTTGATGCTTTCCAGTTGTGCTGTCAATAATAACTCTTCACACTTCAATATTTCAAACTGTACTTCATATAACTGAAGTTGCAGATCATAATAATCAGCTTCTAACTGATCCAACTGAGCAATAGCTTCTGTACCACCCTGCAAACTCTGCATCTGCATGGAAATAAAAACACTTCTCACTGGTAGAAACAAGATAAAATGTCAGGGTATTATAAACATTAATACTAACTAAAGAATTCATCAAAATATAATTGCTCAGGCTGGGAAGGTGGCTCAGTGGTAGAGCGCTTGCCTTGCATGCCTGAGGCCCTGGGTTTGATTCCTCAGCACCATATAAGCGGCGCTGTGGCTCAAGTGGTAGAGCGCTAGCCTTGAGCTGAAGAGCTGAGGGACAACGCCCAGGCCCAGAGTTCAGGCCCCATGACCAACCCAAAAAATAAAAATAAAAAATAAAAGAATAAAAAATATAATTGCTCTAATAAACAAATATACAGGCAAGAAATCAGACTTTTAAGCCAGATACAGCACAGTGGAAGGCATTACTAAAGCAGTGGAGTGTGAGGCCAACAGGGGCAAAGAAAGGACTCATCTCAACAAAGAAACCTATGCTTAAAAATATACACACGCACGTGTACAATTATGTGTCATACCATGTAATTTTGGAAGAAGGTAAATATGATACAAGGTTTTTTATCTTTCTATCACAACTCATTTATATTTAGAATAATATATTCCTACTGCCTTGATACGTGTCAATGGTTGCCCTCCTCAATCTCAAAGTACACACTAAATCATGTAGTTACTCTGTATATAAGATATATATATATATAAAGATGACAGAGGCTATGTTTACAAAACAATGGTAAGTTAATTTGCATATCTGGAACTATGCATTGTCTGATAGGGTCACAGCTAGGCATCTGGAAACTGCTGGTGAGGAGGTAGGGTAAAGATAAGAATACAAAAGTCTTTGCAATTATCTTTAAGTAAATCAATCAGGGTCTTAGAGTGAATCTAAGCAGGAGTCAGAAATTTATGGGCAGGGTTCAGGCAGTGGTGGATAGTCATACAAAGGCTTCTCTACCTGTAGAGACAAGAGCTCCAAATTCTTTTACCAAGAATTTGAAGGAAACCACTAAGGTGTATATGTATTTCAGATATCAGTTCCTAGTGTATTACCTCCATGTATTTCTATGGAGAAGAAAACTGTAAGAAGAAACTTGAAGGGAGGAGTTTTCTGGTATGAAATTTATCAGACAAAATAAATAAGCATTCTGCCTAGAATATAGCAAAACTTAAGCCCTAGGAAACCCCCAGCATAGGCATCAGTATGCCTTCAATGTAAATAAGTAATGGTGAAGTGGCCTATTTTGTCTCAAGTGGTTTCACATGTATCTGAGTAGTAATACTAGCAAAGATGGGAAGAAAGAGAAAACAAAAAGATAAATTAGAGAAAAATACTCCAGAATACCAGGAAAATATTTAACTAGTAGTTCTAGAAGAGCCTAGGGCAACAAAATAAGTGAATACATACTGCTACTAAAAACAAAACACTATTTTAAAAGGTTTTTGCTTGACAATCTAGGTATCTGCTCACACTTGCCCAATGACTAGCAAGTACCTTTAACAAAAATTTTGACATTAAAAAAAAGCAATGGTTAGGTTCTAGTCTTAAATATGCTGTGGTGTACCATTTTAGATCCTGCTAAATCTGTTTAATAAATTTTATAAATACTAATTAGTTCCATTATAAATCAGGAGAGGTTTTTGCTGCATTAGGAAATATTTTATAGTAACGAACTCAAAATGAGGGAAGAGAATACCAACTATGGACATAGATGATTTTCAGTCTTCCATTAAATGATACATCCCTTTCCATACCATCTTAGGGCTCCTGTCTGGCTACAACTCCATAAGATGCATCTTCCTCTGTTACCCAAACCTACATTCACTGTTAGTTTAACATATAATCAGGTAAAATACCTGTATTTTCTAGGTAGGGAGTTGGATAAGCTTACTTATGAAAATCAGTTGAAAAATCTTCATATAAAATATTCAGGCCTGGGTGTCAACTCTTCTATTAACAGTACTATGATTCTCTCTGGCTTGCAATGACACTGGTTCACAAGGTTCATGAACTCTGCTATCTTCCCCTAGCACTACGGTTGTCTCTCCTGTCCAATCCTTTGACTAAGGGGAATTGTCAATCCTTTACAGTATCGAACACTATTAATTTCCTCAACTGCAGTACTCTGATGGATACTGTCAACATCAAATATCAACTGAGAGAGGAAATAGGTACTCTCTTACTAGTAGTAGCCTAATCCCTAATTTTCAGATTCAGTAAGTTTTACCCAGAGCAAGAGTCCAGAGATAGATAGATTCTAAGAAGGACAAATACACATCAGAGGCAGATGGGCAGACTAGAGCCCACTAAATCTCAACTCTTGAGGATTATAAGGCAGTGATGGTCCCTAGAAAAAGGGCCCTGGATCATCCCTGAAGGCTGATTGTAGGGTCAGAGTACATAGAACTTTTAGGAATATAAAACTAAAAAGAAAGATAAAACTTGTCAGAGAATTCTGACAAGGCAAATGGTACTCTGAGGTTTAGGATTCCTTCAAGCTAAAGGTAAAATCTTTAGTATAAGGTATGAAGCGTGTGTGGGATGGGCACCCTGCTCCAAACTGTCTCCCTGTGACATCTAAAATTTCCACACAGGTATTTCCTATCCTTAGCTTACAGGCACAGAACTAAGGGAAAAGGAATTGTAAGTGAAAGAGAACTAATTCAAGACAATGGAGTTGTGCAGAACAAATAGGTGTCACATGGAGGCAGGGGTCACTTGGGCAAGGGAAAAGCCAATAAAGAAGTATTAAGTATTCAAAGAAAAGCTGGCTACCTTAGAGAGAGAGACAGACGGGAGAGAGAGGGAGAGAGAGGAAGGGAGGGAGGGAGAGAGGGAGAGAAGGAGAGAGAGATAAGGAGGGAGAGAGAGGGATTGAGTACTTCAGCTTGAACTCAGGGCTTGTGTACTGTTCCTGACCTTTTTGCTCACGGCTAGTACCCTGCCACTTGAGCCACGCTTCCACTCAGGCTTTTTTGGTGGTTAGCTGGAGACAGGAGTTTCGCAGACTTTCTCCTGAGTAGCTATAATTATACAGGCATCAGCTCAACTTCTAGTCTTAAACATATACCACAGCACATTAAGATTAGAACCTAACCATTGCTTTTTTTTTAATATCAAAATTTTTGTTAAAGGTACTTGAAATAGGAAATTATTAAATGCTTTTCTATATTAGTCATTGGGTAAATCTGAGCAGATACCTAGATTATCAAGCAAAAGTCTTGTTTAAAGTATTCTCCCTTTATGTGCTAACGTGTTTTGTTTTGTTTTTTAGACACCAAACACTTCCCAGTGAGACCTCACTGACAAAAGATGGAGTTAGGCTCAATTCTCCCATGTCTACATGATGAATGTTTTTTGCCACTAGATTTTATTAGATTTTGCTGGACTGTCCCTCAGCCTCCTGAATAGCTAGGATAACAGGTATGAGCAACCACTTCCAGGTCCGAGTACCATTCTTAAAAATACGGGGAAAGAAACAAAGGAAAGTGTTTATGCAACCTAACAAGGAAATATATGCCAATTCTCCACCATCTGAGTTAATGATTGTAGTAGTAAATTGGGAAGTGAAGGTCAAAAAGAACTTACACAGGAGGGGTAATCACTAGACACTATGTTGAAAATGAACTACACAGGGGAAACAAAGAAGGAGGCTACAATGCTTGATAAGAATGTACTCATTGGGGCTGGGAAGGTGGCTCAGTGGTAGAGTGCTTGCTTTGCATGCATGAGGCCCTGGGTTCGATTCCTCAGCACCACATAAGCAAAAAGAAAAAAGCCGGAAGTGGCGCTGTGGCTCAAGTGGTAGAGCGCTA